TAGTGATAAAGTTGCTGCCGCTGCTGAATGGCTTTTGTCCTAGCACCGAGGACATTCTCTTCATATTGTTTTTCTTTTTTTTTTCTTTGTAGCTCCCCATTTAAAACACTCGTCTTGAAATAAGCCTATGGAGGGGATCCTTTGAGGTGGTAGGAGGAGGGAGTCCCCCATGAAGTACGGGCACTTCCTTGCAATTTTATGCCCGAATGGAGTCGTTAAATCATTTTCTGAAATTGAGTCGAGAATTTGTTGCTGTTGTCCTGGCAAGCAGTCCTTACTGTGTGGCATTGACATTGGAGTCTGTAACAAGGCACACACATGTGTGTGGGAGTCGCACGTCTAGCTGTAAACGGAAGTACTTACTGCGTCCCCAGCTAAACATTAAATTAAAATATGTTCTTCGTACATTTCTCTGGCTCTCTCCCTATTCTTTAATTAAAACCAAAATGTTTTTTCCCTGCTTCTCTACTTTTTTTTTTTTTGTTATTTTTTTGATGTGGCGCGTTAAATGCACTTTGTATGTGATTTCACGGTTTTATGGCTGGCTTCTCCTGCGTTTCCATTTCCCTTTGAAGGAGGGAGCTAATGGGAGCACATGCGGGATGCCTGCCCCAGGTACCCTTGACGGGCCAAGCCTCCTTGGAGGTCATCGTAGGCAATCTACAATAAGGAGTAGCAAGAAGGAGCCTGCTAGGAGGAAGCCTAGATTGGCTATGCCTAGGCAGGTGTTGATTATGCCAGGTTAAATCTGGCTCATAAATCTAGTTCTTTTTAGTCGCAGATACTTAGAAAGATTTATCTGGATTTTTTTGTAGGTCTTAGAGTATTATTTTTGACTTTAGAATATTAATTTTTAATCTCTAAATATTTATGTATTTATATTTATATTTATGGCCATATTTTTTATATTATATATATTCATTTAACACATATTTTTTCCACGAACTCCCAAAAAATCACTCTGAAAAAACCACTCAAGCTGTCAGCAACGCTATCTGCAAGTGTCCCAAAAAGTATCTCGAACCCATATTAACCCAAGCTGAATATTGCCACACTTCCCCCATATGGGTCACCGCATCGCAAACACACTTTAATGTCCTGCCAGCCATATTTTCAACTTTAAACAACCCATAAAACACTTTCAGCCAAACAAAAAGCCGTAAAAAGGGAGAATTACAAGCAGAACAAGGTCAGCCAGCATCAGAGAAGAGCTCGTTCGAAACTCGGACCCGAACTCGAGCCCAAAGCTCAAATCCAGCGAGCGATGCCCAATATATCACATGACGCCTACAATTTAAACTGCCAAAAAAATGAAATGCAAACTGGGCGAACGAAGAGAAATGGCAAACATTTATATAAATAACACCATCGGCTCCAATTAAAGCAGTTCGGGGTTAAGGGAAAGAGAACAGCTTGGTTTCAGCAGCTTGTGTCTCTTCTGTGCGTGATAAAAACCACAAAACGAATTTTTGTTTATGTGTGTGTGCTTGTGTATCAGTGTGTGTGTGTGTGTGTGTAATAAAAATGCAAAACAAAAGCGTTCAAATATGTTTGCTTCTCCTTTTTTTTGCAGTCGTTCAGTGTTGCCGGCGTGGGCGTGGCACTTGCAGCGCCAAAAGAAAGACTGGCGGCCACCAAAAGGGGGGTTTACGTGGTGGAAAGAGGGTGCTTAAGGGGCTGGGACAACCAAAACCACTTCCAAATGTCATTCGCATGCGAGTCAATGACGTACCGATGAGGAGCAGAAGCAGCAGCACGGGACAACAGGAGAAGATAGAGCTTCTAGGGATCGGAGCAAGTCGAAGTTTGAGGTGCTCTGTAAAGGAATAAAATATTAATATATCAAATATATTTATAAATTCCTCATTTAATTATTATTTATGAAGAGAAAGAAGTAGCTTTCATTTTTGTTTAAAAACATGTAACTTTCTGTCTTCATTAAGAAGGAAAGCCCGAATTTTCTACTCGAAAATATGTATGCTAACTTCTGAGGAATTTTTAAGGAGAGTCTTATGGCTTTATTACCTTGATCCCTTCAAATTTTAACTTCCGATCTCCCCAAGTACGATCACCTACTTCATATACCCAACTTCCATGTAGGGTCAGCGCGGGAGATACTAACCAAGAAATGTTGCAGCTACATTTGGCAGCAAGTGGCGAGCGAGACGAGGAAATAATAATTTATGCATGCGTTGTGGTAGCTTGCTGGCGACGGCTATGGCCAAAAGGGGAGTGGGGGAAGTGCACCCCAGAAACCGCAAAATGTTGCGCCTTGTTGTTGCCACAAAAGTGAATCTGAGCTGCAGGCGCTGCAGCTTTTGTGGCAACCGGAAAACGGAAATTGTGGCCAGTACCCCACCGCTCTCCCCAGATCCCACGAGATGCCCGATTTCCCGCACTATAATAATACCGCTCAAGGATTTATGCTTCAGTCGCCGTTTAAGTCGCGTTGACTCTCTCTTCCATTGTCGGAAAAACAATTTGCAATTAAATGCTTTCTATTTGCAAATTTACCAGGCCTTTGTTGCCTAAAATGGTAAGGAAAAAAATTAAAGTAAAACGAACTGAGCCCAGATGCTGTTGCCACACTTCCTCTGGCATCGCGGTTTCAGCTGAATTCGTGGCAAAAACAAGTAAACTGAATGCAGATTAATCGGGTTCTGCATCCTGCCAAGTGTGGTTCTATATCGAACGAGTTTTGTGGCTTATTTCTGGGATTTCCGATATTCCATTTAGCTAAGATTGGCGGTTTTAATTTATTTATATTGCTGTCTTTAAAGGAAGTTATTTAGAGGGTATCTTGGGTTGTAAAATAAAATAAATACTAAGGCTTTAACTATGAGTTTACCCTGTAAAATAAGTGGTTTAAATTGTTAAATAAAATGTATATAATACATGTAATGTTTCTGAATTGTTTGGTATATATAAAATTCATTTTTAACCCTTATAACTATATATTTTTCGACTCGGCCCCTTAACAAACTATTTAAAGCCCGCACAATGCAATCAACAAAAAAAACGAGGAAAAACCTTTGTGGAAATTACAGAAAAATCGGAAACGAAAATCAAACATATGAATTTAATTGCCTAAACAATTCTAATCAAGCTGTGCGGCCATCAAAGCCATCAAAAGGACACAAAAGGACGAAAATTGCTGATTGCATTTAATAAAAATATAATGTTGCCGCAATCGAGCCACGAATAACCACCACCAAGCGATCCCGATCTGCTCGGAAAAATCGAAAAATGGGAGGAGGAGGATGTGGCAGGATAAATGGCAAACGAATGGACATCAAAATGGAATCAAATCGAGGCGGAAAACGAAAATGAAATAGAAATCGAAATCGAAAACGAAAACGAATGCGGAACGCAAAACTCACGAGTACGCCGACAATGCCAACTTAATTTGTGTCATAGAAAGCATGAAAAGGAGCGGCAGCCAAATTGACATATTGACAGCCTGACAAAAGGTCCACCCCACAAAAAAAAGGAGGCGGGAGGCAGGATGCGGTGGGTGGGGCGGGGCCTGTGCCGCAGTGCAGTTTGATGGCGGCGTCAAAAATAAACAAACATTGCGACAGCAATAAAATATCAAAACAAGCCACGAGTTGGGGCTGCTGCAGGATTGGAGGCGGCAGGATAGCTGCTGCGGTGGCTTAATTGAGGCAACAGAAGGCCGTAGAAAAATCCAATCAAAACGCAATGAAAACAAGGATCAAGGCTTGTGTCCCCGGCCAGCTGTAAACCTCAACTCGGTGTGTTGATGTGTGTTATCCTGACAAATAATCAAACTCGCACACAAAACACAACCAGAGAGCAGCAGCAGCAGCAGCAGCAAACAAGCCAACAAGGACCTTGTCAAGCAGACATGTAAGCGATACAGATGGAGATACTGTACAGGCAGGACAATTGCCGAGTGAGTCCTGCCAGAATCGCATCCTCTCAAGGCTGCAGTTGCATTTTCCCAAAGTCGGTTCGGTGGAGCGTGCGGCAGCCCACCAACCAACCAACCAACCATCCCCTGATGGCAACCAGCACCACTCCCGATCCCTGACCTAATCCAATTTCAATGGAACAATGGATAAATCCTATTTTTGTTTTCGCTTACCTATGCCAAGGATTGATGGCATTATTAAAGCCGAGAAAAGAAAACACACAGCCGATAAGTATTTATTTAAATTCCATTTTCCACTTGGGGGTAAGAGCTCTATGAATTGGTTTAGAGATACCTCAAAAAAGATATGGGTTAACCAAAGTATATGTTCTTTCTAAATTAAAACTCATTTTGAGAACACTTTCCAGCACCCCCCTAAGCTGTTAATAACCTCCACCTCCTTCCAGTCTTGGCCAAGTCTCTCCCCTCCCCACTCTTGGCTAATTTTATGTTTGGGCCATCAAGCAGAGTCCCAAACTACACCAGGCCAATCAAACCTCATGACCTCCTTCTCGCCATAAAGCCGCCAAATGTTTGGCGTATAAAAACAAATAAGACAAAGCGCACACACATAAACCACGCCCCCAACGCCCCCACATATCCCTAAGATGATCAACAAAGGGAAATTTGTTAGCGTGTTATGTAAATTGCACACAAGAGGCTGGATGGCTACATTATGTAAATAAAAGAAATAATAAGCTTGGAGCTCAAACAAAAAAAAAAAGCGAGAAACAAAGGCCTGGGCGAATTGCGAGCATGTATGTTTATTATTTTCATGACGCGTTGATGACACTTTGGAGTCGGGGTCCTGTCACGACCGCACTCTTTAAGGAAGTGTCGCTGGCAAATGACATTTCTGGCGCTATATTAACCATTCCACATTTAAAATGTTTTATGGGTGACTTTGTTAGAGAAGAAAGCTAAAGTGTACTATTATTATTAAATATTATATTAAATATTACTTTTAGTAATATTATATAACTTTAAGGCAAACTTAAGCTTATTTAAGACCAAATAAAATCCGTCTCTGCTTCCCTTTTTTTACAATCAGTTTTTAATCATTTTTTTTACACGTAAATATACCTCCCTCAATTTCTAAAATCAAGTTACACCCCCCTTTAATTAGGGACTCCCCCCGTGAAACACTTTTCAATGCAACTCCACAAGACTTGCCTGCTTGCAGCACAAAATTTAAGTAAGGTCAACCAGACGCCGCGGGGGATGAAGGCCTTCATGTCCATCCTTTGTAGCCGCGGCACCAAGTGGTGGTCCCCACTGATGGCGGATAAGGTGCAGCTAAGAAAACATCACCTGCCCCGTATCTTCCAAAGGATGAGGTCGAGCCAACTTCAAGCCACCCCCCAAACTCAAACTCCCGCGTACCGGGAGCAGCCCAAGTGCAGATTTATTCAGTACCGCCGCCCCAATGAGCATTCGAAGCGTCTGGGCATGGTCTCCGAGGATGGCAGCAAAATGGTAGAGCTGTCCAACGTCACCTGCGCCTCACCCAGCATGCTCGACTTCATTCGACAGCGGTACTGCATGAAGAGTCTCCTGCACAGCGTGCAGTACATGAAGGCCAGGGACGTGGATGCTGTGTGTCCAGAGCTGTTGCCGCCCCTTGAGGCGCCCGGGAAGATCGTAGGCGTGGACTGCAATTACAAGGATAACTGCGACGAGCAGAACATTCCGATACCGCGGGAGCCCGCCTTCTACGTGAAGTTTGCCACCTCGATCACGGGGGCATTGGACATCATCGCGCCACACTCTCCAGGCAAGAGGATCGACTATGGTTGCCAACTGGCCGTGGTCATGGGGAAGCGTTGCAGGCAGGTGTCGCCCAAGGAGGCGCTTAGTAACATCTTTGGCTACATGGTTGTCCAGGATATCGTGGCCCGTGACTGGAATTCCCTGCTTGGCGGTCGCAGTATGGACAACTTCCTGCCCCTCGGACCAGTCATCGTGCATCGCTGCCATGTCCCCGATGTAAACAATTTATGGATGAGGACGCTGGTCAATGGGGAGGAGCGCCAGTTTGGTCACACTAGCAATATGATATTCAAGGTAGACACTCTCATCCATCGCCTGTCCCACTATATGACCCTGTGTCCGGGCGACATCATACTCACGGGCACACCCGCTGGATCCGCTGCCTATTCGGACACGACCTCCTTCCTCCAGCCTGGCGACATGATTGAGACAGAAATTCAAAATTTAGGAAAAATGTACAATAAAATCATAGAAGCGTATAAGTAAAATTAATTTCAGAAAAAGGAAAGATTTTTATATATTCTTTATCTAAAATCCTATTCAAAAATACCCACTAATCATATTCCTTACAAATTCCATCATAACATATTCGACACCGAAATTCCTGTTGCCAATAAATTTACGTTGATGCCGAACCAGGCCAAGGAGGCACATAACCCAGCCAGAAGGAGGAGGCTTCTAATGCGCCTTTCAGGAGCGGGAGAATCATTTTGTAATATAATTTGTTTGGCTGGCACAGGAAAGGGGGAACCCGAGATTGGGGGCAGAGATGGCAGCGCTTTTATGAGACGACGCAGCAGCATAATCAACATTATCCTCGGAGAGTCACAAGCCGCAAACAAGGCGCCTACAAAGGGCGGGAACGCGGGACTTCCCGCTGCGAAAGCCACGCCGCATTATCATCTCATTGCACAGGACTTAATCCTGCGGCAAGTTATTAAAGCGTAACGCGTTTCGTCCTTGCTCCCAGCACCATCGCCAGCTCCTGGGATCCTGCGCTCCCTTTTTATTGTTCGCGCTGCGCTTAACTTGTTTCGCATTGAGCCAGAGCACAAGGGGGGGAAAGGAGATCGGGATTGGAACTGGGTTGGAAGGCGATGCCGCCTTAATGCTAAATGATCCAATATCCTGTTTCCTGCGTCGGCGGCAGCAGCAGCAGCAGCGTTAAAAGGTCCTTTGTGGCCTCCGCTCGCTATTATTTGCCCTGGCCAACTTAAAGATGTTTTCCCTCTGTGCCAACTTGTCCTTCTCCTTTCGCACAGGCTCTCCTGCTTCTCTCCTCCTCAATTATTTGCTCGGCGACGAGGAAGAAAAATCGTCGGCGAACATAATTTTGTATCTTTTCTTTGCGCACGGCAACTTAAATAGCAGAATGTAAAGTTTTTAATTATGCAACTCAACGCTGACGTTGTCGCATTGTATGCAAAGGACACTGGGAGAAATATTCAGGGAGTTTGATTAATAAATATAACAATTATAAGTGAGAAGAAAATATAGTTTAAGCCTTGGAAAATATTTTAAAGTAACACCTAAAGTAGCTTCAATAATAAAATAACAAAATTTACATATAAGAAATCCGAGACTCTGCTTAAAATATACTATCTTTTATAAAGCAAATTCTATCATAAAAATGTACCTCAACTTACGCCTTTATTTATTCATTTTATGTATAAATTTCCAAGTTTTTTTGAGTGTAGCTTCCTGTAACTCCCATCTTTCCCGTTAGCTAGCTAGCCAAAAAACTTAAAATACACATAATTAGCCATAGTACTGAGTTGCTGCCGCCTTTTTTTGGTAGTTTTATTTTCTGGCCGTTTGCTTAGCGACGAAATTTCGGCACTCCCAACCCTCCCCTCTTCTATTGTGCGGATTGTGTATCTTTCGGATATCTTTTGGGTTTAGTTTGCTTCCGCTCCAGTGCCAAAAACTAGGCCAGTTTCTTTCCAAAAGTTGATGTTTAGCTTGGCACAGAATTCAGCGTTGACAAAAGGCTGGGCTAATTAAATGAAAATATTAATTGCTGTAAAAATATATGATCTTTTTAAACAATAAAATATATACATATCATTTTTAAGGTGTCGTAAATGATATTCCAGCAATAAAAATTGTACAAAAATTGTATCAAACGTATTGCGTATTTTATTCCACTTCTCAGATGAAAGCCTTCTTGGCTAAGAGATGGGGACCAGGACACATAAAATGTAACATGTCGTAATATTCACCACAAGCAGCGCCAGAACCACGGCCAGGACCAGAAACCAACCAAAGTCAGGAACATGCCAGGGAACATGGCATTGAAAGCTGTTGCCAAACAAAATAAGGACCAGGAAGAGGCGGCCACAATGAACGCCAGAAAAAAAAAAGAAGTAACAATACTCCCCGCTCCTCTCTGGCACAGCATAATCTTTTTAACAATTTGTTTTTGGGAGCTGGCAGAAGGCGGTGGATATGACACATATCCCGGAGTAAAGTCAATGCCGAGATATGCTGAAATTTGTTTTGTTTCTCGGCTCCCCTTTGTTATACATAATCCTTGAGAGGTGTGACATTTGTGTGTATAAATTTCAACTTTGATCCGCCAGGGATAACCCTCGGGTGGCCAGAGCCAATTGCCAGGCACGAAATCTAAATAAACACTGTTGGAATGGGAAGAAGGAGACCCAAAGACCCAAATACCCAAGGAAAAATGTGGCCAAGAGAGCCAAGTCCTCGAGTTCCAGGGCTCCGACTCGGCACACACTTAAGTTGTCAAAATCAGCACAAAATTCCACCATGCCCGAGTGTGTGTGTGTGTGTTCAGATGTTTGTGTTTTTTTGTGGCAAAATGTTATTTTCCTTTCATTTAACTGTCATGTATTTTGCATACACCAAAGCCAGGCTCCTGTCGGTGCCAAATTGAATGCCCGAAAGAAATGCTGCCGCTTTGTTTGCTCCTCCGAATGCGTAGGTGTTGTGACATTTGACCGCCGCCGCTGCCGTCTGCTGAACATCAAAGGAATGTTCTCCTGTTTTTATTCGCCTTTTTTAGGGGACATTAATCACACCTTTTTGGGCATTCAACATGACACAATATGAAATTGAATTTTTGAAATGAACAAAGGGCCATGGTAAGTCCAGGAAAATATTAATTTGCAAAATGTCCCAGCCAGTGGTCATTTTGCCATTTCGTTTTTGACTTTGTAAAGATGAAAGTTGGGGCTAGAAAACATAAGATTTATTTTTTGCATTTGAGACAGAATTTAATTTGTAATTACTTATTTTTGTGAGATTTTTGTGGCAGCCTAAATCTTTCATTTTATTTTTAATTTACTTCTTGCCCGACTTCTTAATGCCACCGCCTACAAGAGGTCCTTTTTTGGAGGCATTCGCCTTGGCCGCATCTATTGCCTTCTGCTGCTCCTTTTGCTTCAGCTTGAAGGCCATATCATCTTCGTCCAGGTCCTTGGCATCCTTCTTGGGGGCTTTCAGAGGCTTTTTCTTACCGCCCTCCCGACTAGACATTTTTAATAGGCAATAATAACAATGAGTGACGGATTTTTGGGTCTTTAAAGAATATTTTTCAATTTTAAGAGAATTAAGAATTATGATATGTCAAGCTATGAGAATTCTGGTGACTTTTAGACATTGATTTCAAGTTTACTTTATCAACTAAATATAGAGGTGCCAATATATTTAAAAGAATATTATTATAATATTAAGGATTTAGGCAAATTTAAGTTTTAATTGAATGGAAAAGAAGCCTAATTTATTTATTTATGAAATGAAAAGAATACTTTAAATATTTAACTTAGCATTAGCATTATTTTTATCTATTGAAAATAACTTTCTCATCATATTTCCCATATCATTTCTTTGTGAAAAATTTATCAACTTGTATAATATTCAGCTTTTGCCTCTACAAACACACCTCTTTGACCCAGAAGTACTTTAAATTCCCAACTACAATATTTATTTAGAGTGTGACAGATCCCATCTTGATAGGGCTAACTTTTTGAAATGCCTAAATGATCTCTAATGGTTTTAAACACACGCAGTCTCCCTCTGTGACAGCCATTAAGCAAATAAAATAAAATTTCACATAGCGTGTGCCTTTTTTTCTAGCCCAAACCGAGAGTCCTGTGCTACTCTATGAAAATCCTCTAACGCCCGATAATTACGTTGAATATTTCCAACGATAATTGCTTGATTTGCACAGTGTGTGTTGATGTTTTCATAATGGATGCTTTCGGGGCATAAATTACGTTCCAAAAGGGGAAGGACTGCGACTCCCAGGCATGTGGTGAACAAATGTTGCATGCAGCCCCGGAGTCGAGAGGCAGATTGATAAAACTCTGGCATGGGATGGGATGCGGAGTCTGTTTCGGGGAGAATTAACACATTTGCGTTCGATCAGGATAATGACGACGACAAGGCGGCCGCCACAACCCTAAGTCGGGATCAGGAGCAGGAGCAGGATCAGGGTGGTTTCTCCCTTTCCCCTTTTTGGGAATTTCCTCGGGGTGTGTGCCAAACAGTGGCAGCTGCCGTTGCGCAGTTTTTCGGAAAACCCATTTAAACATTTTCCATTTCCACATTTTCCCTCAACGCATGCGTCAATCTTGATTTACGTTCTCGGCTGTGCAGTCTAATAATTTTCCACTCGCCATCGATGGTTATTATATCCTGGATAGTTTTCATTTTCAAGTGCATCAAGTATGCAATACATTGACCCTGTCAATTTTCAAGCATTTGCAATTATTTCATTGAAGGAATTTCCCGAAAACCGATCTCTATCTGTGACTTATGGGGGTGGACTGTCCTGCCATGTCAGCTGGACATCATTGGGCTCAATGAGCCAGCTCCATTTCGATTTGTCCAGCATTTCCTGTACATAAATTGGATCGGATCCGTCACATAATGTGTGCCAACGGGATTAGAGCCTTTATGGGTTGTAATAATCAAGGAAACTAATGGGCAGTCGGATCTTTGCTACTGCGGGAAAAATATATTGAAGGGAAAAGGAGGTATTTATGAATAGTTTAGAAGGAATAGTTGGAGTTTTAAATGTTTTGTTATATATAGAAACAGCAATTCCTTACAATATTGTAAATAAATAAAAATTCAAGAAACTTTTCAGCAAGAAATGCATTTATAAATATATTTAAAGTAAAAAAAAATTGTGTCATTTAATAGTATCAATAATAATTACTCTTAAATATTTAACTTGCAAACTTTAAATAACTAATTAAATACCCCCAATTCCCTGTATTTAATTCATAAAAACCCACAAAACCCTGTTGAAAGCAAATACTCGAAATAAAGTAGGAGCCATTGCAACCAGTTGAGTGCGACTAAGCCCTCTTAATCAGTAATTAGCTCCAGTCAACAAATCAAAGTAAAGCTCACCGAGTTATTTCAATTTTAATTGCCTTAACCCTTCAGCCAGAGAGCTGCGAGTGGAAAAAAAAAGGAGTATAACAATAGTGCTAAGACCTAAGCTTACTTAATGTGACCACTTTGAGCGGTGTCGACGGGCGCAGACATCGGGGATCTGGGGCGATCGGAGGAGTACTCAACCCGTAATCGGCTTAGGGCAATAAATTGTTCACGGCCCTCGTCTCCACGACAAAATGGCCAACAAAATGCAGCATTTTTGTCATCCTCTCCCTATATCCGCTTGCCTCCGATTTTGCTTTATTCTTATTTCTTTTTCACAATTTACCACAATGATTAATCACCGAAAAGGAGGCGTGCACATTCCCTTCCTCGCCGTCCGTGTGTTGGTAATATAATATTTGTCATAGTTCATAATTTAGATATTTTTTACGTACCCCGTGAGGGGTTGGCAACAAAAAAAAATAGTAACATTTTGCAGTCTGGTAAAAAACATCAACTACATATGCTGCACGCAGTTCAAGTGCAGTCGAGTGGGCTTCCGAGGGTGGCAAATATATATGTATATATAGTTGGTGGGTTGAGTTTGTTTGTACAGTTGAGGGGTGACCGGCATGATATGTCCCCGTGTGTATGTCTGCTCAGTATCACTATATCGATGTATCGGTCTGTTTTTTTGTTTGCTTTAGAGGGTGCAATGTTGCAGCACTGTGCAGGTCAGTGTTTGGTAGGTGTTTCCCGGCGAAATGTGGTTGCATTCAGCGCTCAGCGGTTAACCAGAAGGGTTGGGTTTTGTGCCAGTGCTAATGTCAGTGCCAACATCTGATGTAATCAGGAAAAGGGGACTTGAATAGCGGACATAAGGATAAGTAGTCCCGAGTTAAATGGAAGTCAAGATGGGCAGTATAAATAAGAGAAATGTAAACATTTGTTAGAGATTATCGCAGCTTTGATTTGATTATTTTTCAGTTTACACTTTGAATTTGTTAAGGGAATATTCAATTTTAAAAGGGACTTTTAATTCAGACATCAAATTTGCATTTAAACATAATAATAATCCTAATAAATAAATAATAAATATTTTATAATAAACATTTATAATTTTAAGTTCAGTTTTATTTCTGAGAATTAAGATAATGTTAAGATTTATAAATGTAATCTTTAATAATTTCCAAAGTCATTTCCCAAGACATCCCAGCAGCAAAGGTGATTTTCGCACCTGGAATTGGGGGGGAAATCGGAGAAGTCATCAAGGATGCAGGTTAGGTACGTTAACAAGCCACACACACAGCCAATTTCTGGGACAAAGGAGAAATTTGCTTTTGGCCAGGATAATAGGTGGATAATTTATTAGCCATCAGACCAGCACATCGAGTATCGGTGTGTGGATGTTGGATGACAACTGCAGAACTGCAGACCAGATTGCCCAGATAGTAGATGCAGGATCTCTCTCGTATGTGCGCAAGGATGCGGGCCGGGCATGGAATGGAATGGAATGGCTTATGTTGGGATGCACAAACAAACGGACAAAGGACGAGTGTTTAGGGTAAACACAAAGGCGACCATAATACAATCATAATTGCATTTTTACAACGGCCCGAGGAGAGAATGTGCCGGATTTTGTACACCCAACTTGGGTTATTGACAGTTCGCACCAAGGACATGCATTGAAAACACGCACGGTGGGCGAAATTAAATTTTTATCTAATACAAACTCGCAGCAGGCACCCGTCCCTTTTAGGTCCTTTATTATTATTATACTTTTTTTTTGCACTGCGATACGGGATTGGTGGCTCAAGGACATTCCAGGAAACGACACCACACACGCACGCCGTTAGTTTTCACACCAATTCCCGGAGGATGCCAATGTGTGTCCTTCGTTTGGAACATTAATTTGACTTATCCGGGGACAAGGACACGCACTCAGTTGGAAAGTGCAATTAATGCCAAACAATGGCGACTTTTGTCAGCTCTGGACACACACGCGAACGGGCCAAGGATACACAGACCATTAGCCGTCCAAGTCCAAGGACCTTGTGCATAATTAGCCGGCACTCCCGGCCCGAATGGGTTGTCCTCCGGATGTCCTTCGGAGTCAAGTCAAGGTCTAATTGCACAATGCACCGAGGACGCAGCAACCTTGAGTCATAATTGAGGTCCTGCGGGATAATGACTTGCTCGTGTTTATTCCTTTTGTTTTTTGGGCTCAACACGCGTCGCGCTTGCGCAGAATAGTATTCCAAAAGGCGAATTCCAGGCGTGCGCTGATAATAAAACCATTTTACGTGGGCCCCAAGGTCAACCGAAGGCCCTGACAGGTCCTTGAACATCCAATTGAGTCATAATGGGTTTTTCTCCCCTTAGGCTAAAAGCCTGCCGAGTTCTAGGATCCATTAAGAAGTATCTCTCAGATAAATATATCCATTGAGTGACTTTTGAAGGACATATCAGAATGAGATACATAGCCATTGCCACGGGTTTAAAGGGGAATTTTAATGGTAACAAGGATTGCCCACGTGCTATGGAAAGCGTTAAAAGTTTCCACGAAAATCATCAACACTTTATAGCTACGAGAAATGATTTTCATTGATATTTTACATTCTGAAAAGTGTTCACACGTTAAGTTTTAAGTGTCTTTTAAACCTTTAAATGTGTTATTACCTATAATATATGGTTTATTTTAATATTTTCCAAAACCTAAGGCTTCAAATTGATCAGGTATATTTTTAAGACTAAAGGTTTTAAATTTTGTAAATCGAAATTCTTGGAAATATGTCCTTAATTGCCTTGACTTTTTTGAATAACTGTAGTCGTGCTCCCCCTCAAAAAACTCCATCTTCCTCCTCAGTTTCTGCCCATATGAAGCTCTTCTGTCAATTACGAAGCCATCAGCCTTGTCCAAAGTCGTGAAATGCATCTTTGCTCTGTCCTCGCCGGCCGCCCACGGATCTCGAGGCTCGAACTTGAGCCGAGTGGTGCACTTATGTCAATGCAGCATTAAATAACTAAATCAAGCTCAAACACAGCTTCTCCTCGGTGGTATTGTGCCACCAAAGGAGTGGGTTCTGAGACGACAACGGGCCTTTCGGCGACAAACATCGGTGGCTGAGGCTGTGACGGTGATTGCGACGGCGACTGCGAGTTGCGGCTGCGGCGGTCCAAAGTGGATGCCAAATAACCATAATGGTGTTTATCCACAAGTTCATTTCGCTGTTTAAACATGCCTCCGAATTCAGCCCGGACACAATAAACAAG